CTGTGCGCCGCCGCGGGTTCCGGAGGAGGGCCTTCTCCGGCTGGGCGGGCGGGGTGCGCTCCAGGTAACCCGGCTGCTGCGGCGACCTCGTGCCAGCCGCCGCCGACTCCGGGTGTCCGAGCAGTCAGGCTGGTATTTTGCTCTTCTGAGATAAGGTCTCTCTGTGTAACTGAGGTTAGATTAGAACCTAATCTGTTGCTCAAGATGTCCTGGAACCCGCGGCCATGCTGCTTTCCCAGCTTCCAACTTTACAGACGTTACTCCTAGCGCTGTACTAGTCTTGGGAGTCTGTTTTATTATTCTTTTTTTGACTGGTTCTCTCGTAGTCCAGGTTTGCCTCGAACTCCCATTGCTTTCACCTACCATGTACTGGAATTACAGTGAGCCACCATGCCTGGCTTGAGTATCTTTTTATTGCACAACCTTTAAAGGAATAAACTTTTCAAAATATGTTTACGTATTGGAGGAGGGGCGTGCTGTGGCAGGGATGTGGACGTCAGGATAAGTTGCGTCAGACAGTTCTTGCCTTCCACCATGTGAGTCTCAGGAATCGGCTCATTTCAGCAGGCTTCGCAGCCCACCCCAGTGCCCCCGAGCCCTCTCTCTGACCTTAATAATATTTTGAAAGCGGGTTGTAAAAGTGGCCCCGGCTTTCCAAACTTGTTTCTCTCAACCTCTTTCTCCTTTTCTTCTTTTCGTACTAGCTAGCCTTCCTTTCTAGCCTTCAGCCTGGGGATTTGTACCTCTTGAGATAGGCGGAGGCCGGGTGGTGGTGACGCACGCCATTAATCCCAGTAGGGGCAGGCGGATCTCTGAGTTCGAGGCCAGCCTGGTCCACAGAGCGAGTTCCAGGACTGGTTTCAAAGCTACAGGGAAACCCTGTCTCAAAAACAAAAAAACAAACAAAATAGAGATAAAGAGAATGCCAGTTATAGCAGACAATGTAGGTCCCCAGACAGGGTCATGGACTACTCTAGTTTCCTAGTTAGACTGGTTTGAGCACTCCCACACCGGTCTTGTACTTACAAGGTGGAGCCATAGGGCTTTGGAAAACAAACCTCCATGACTAAGCCTTTAGGTGCTTCCTGGCTGCCATAGACCTCTTGTACCTTGTGAAGAATTATACCATTACCTGCATTAATCTTTTGCTGTTCTCAGTTGAAATGCCAAACATGAAATGAGTCACTGAGATTGAACTCCTATTGTCTTGAGAATCAGGCCAAATTTGTCATATATCAGTGAGTTAGTGTAGAAAAATCCAGAGTTAAAAAGTGAATTGCTGGAAAGGTGTGTAGTTTTGAGTCAGTTCATATGGTTTTGGTAGGTTTCTAATTGTTTTATCTTTTCATTTTTGTTTTTGTTTCTTTTTTGCTTTCAACGCAGGGTTTTTCTGTGTAGCCTTGGCTGTCCCGGAACTCACTCTGTAGACCAGGCTGACCTCAACTCAATCCGCCTGCCTCTACCTCCCAAATTCTGGGATTAAAGGTGGACACCACCACCACCACTCAACTCTAATTGTTTTTTTCTCATAATTACTTTACAGAAAGAAGATTATAAATGCCAGAGCCGTTTAACCGATGTTGAATTCTGACACTTCCTGTGCCAGCCTGTTCATTGGGAAAAATTCAGAAAAAAACAAATAGACGTGTATATCTACATTGGCTATGGCTATACCAATAACCGTGCTTGACTGTGATCTCTTGCTGTATGGCCGAGGTCACCGGACCTTGGACCGTTTTAAACTGGATGATGTGACTGATGAATATTTGATGTCCACGTATGGATTTCCACGGCAATTCATTTACTACTTAGTGGAACTCTTGGGGGCGAGTCTTTCTCGACCTACTCAGCGATCTAGGGCTATTAGCCCAGAAACTCAGATCCTGGCAGCATTGGGCTTCTATACCTCGGGCTCCTTCCAGACTCGCATGGGAGATGCAATTGGAATTAGTCAAGCCTCCATGAGCCGATGTGTTACCAATGTCACTGAGGCCCTCGTGGGCAGGGCCTCACAGTTTATTCACTTTCCAGCGGATGAGGCCGCCATTCAATCTCTGAAGGATGAATTCTGTGGACTGGCAGGGATGCCAGGAGTCATAGGGGTGGTTGACTGTATCCACGTAGCAATCAAGGCACCAAATGCTGAAGATCTCTCTTATGTGAACCGCAAGGGTCTGCATTCTTTGAACTGTCTGGTGGTGTGTGACATCAGAGGGGCACTAATGGCTGTGGAGACGCACTGGCCAGGTGGCCTCCAGGACTGTTCCGTGCTGCAGCAGTCTGCTCTAAGTACTCAGTTTGAAGCTGGGATGCATAAAGATAGCTGGCTTCTCGGTAAGTTTGTATGTGTAAATCTTCAGTTTATACCCAGAGAGAGGTTATGCCATAGAGTGGGGGGTCCAAGATTCTATTCTGTAGTCTTGCTCTTTGTCTTCATACTTCCTCTGTTCAGCCTCAGGAGAACTCTCTGAGCCTTCATGTTTTTCTTTTATTATTATTGCTAGCCCTGGCTAGCCTAGAAGTTGCTTTGTAGACAGGCTGGCCTTGAACTCAGACATTCACTTTCCTTTGTTTACCACAAGCTGGGGTAAAAGTGTATACCACCACACCCTCATAGTTATTTTTATTACTATTTATATACTAGGGATCAAACCCAAGGTTTGGGAATGTCAGGCAAGGCTTCTACCACTGAACCTTCCACCTTTGTACCTTGATTAAAAATAAATCAATATGGGGCTGGAGAGATGGCTCAGTGGTTAAGAGCATTGCCTGCTCTTCCAAAGGTCCTGAGTTCAATTCCCGGCAACCACATGGTGGCTCACAACCATCTGTAATGAGGTCTGGTGCCCTCTTCTGGCCTGCAGACATACACACAGACAGAATATTGTATGCATAATAAATAGATAAATAAATAAATAAATATTTTAAAAAAAAATAAATCAATATTTAAGGGATGGAGAGGTATGCTCAATGGTTAAGAGCACTTGTTCTTGCCGGGCAGTGGACGTGCACGCCTTTAATCCCACCACTTGGGAGGCAGAGGCAGGCATATCTCTGTGAGTATGAGGTCAGCCTGGTCTACAAGATCTAGTTCTAGGACAGGCTCCAAAGCTACAGAGAAACCCTGTCTCGAAAAGTAATAATAATAATAATAATAATAATAATAATAATGATAATAATAAGCACTTACTTTTGCAGAGGACCCGGATTTGGTTCCCAGCACGCGCATGAAGACTTTCAGCTACCCACTACTCCAGTTCTAAGGGAATCAGTGGCTTCTGACCTCTATAGCACAAGGCATGCACATGGTATTCAGACAAATACACTTGCAGACACAACACCCATACATATAAAATAAATGTTTAAAATTTTAAACAAAAACAATATTTAAGCTGGGTGTTGTATTTGCTTGTAATCCCAGGACTGGGGAGGCTGAGGCAAAAGGTTCTCAAGTTCTAGGCACAACTAGGGCACACCTCTCTGAGACCACTCCCCCCTCAACAAAACAACAAAAGAGGGTAGTGAGATGATTTATCCTGTGAAGGCACTTGCCACCAAGCCGGAAGACTTGAGTTCAGTCTTCCACATGGTGGAAGGAGAGAACTGGCTCTGGCAAATTGCCCTCTAACCTCTACACATTTGCCGGGCAATTTTGTCCCAGCCCCACATACTAAATAAATGTGATTTTAAAAATTTAACTGGGTGGTGGTGGTGCATGCCTTTGACCTCAGCATTTGGGAAGCAGAAGCAGGGGGATCTCTGTGAGTTCAAGGCCAGCCTGGTCTACAAAGCGAACTGCAGGACAGCCAGTGCTGTACAAAGAAACCCAGTGTCTCGGGGAAAACCATTTAAAAGTGTTAGATAGGCACAATGGCACTGAAGAAAGAGGCAAAAGGATCACTGTTTCCTCTAGGCCAGCCTGGGTTGGGTCTGAAGGTCACCAGTACTCTAACTATTGAGGTAGCACTCTAGCCCCTAAGCTTTACTCTTAGATAAGCAACAGCAGGACAAAGGACAAAATGCACAACGTGTTATTTGTTGTTTGTTTTGGTTTTTAGAGACAGAGTTTCTTCATGTAGCCCTGGTTGTTCAGGAACTTGATCTGTAGATCAGGCTGGCTTTAAATGCACAGAGATCCACATGCCTCTACCTCCTGAGGGCTGGGATTAAAGCCATATTCCATCATGCCCAGCACAATATATTATGTTTAAGAGTGGAATAATTTGGTAGCGTTGAGATTGAGGCAAGAGAAATCACTTGATCCCAGGAGTTCTAACCTAAATAAAAAGGAAAGAGCCAGGCACAGCAGTGCATAACCTGTAATACAGCACTTGGGAGATTAGGCAGGAAGATGAGTTCAGGACCATTTTCTGCTGTCTTACTAACTAAGGTCATGGCGAACCTGGGATTCGTATTTCTTTAGCTCTTAGGCTACTGCTGTTAAGCAGCTTTGGATTAGATCTCCCAGAACGTCTTATGGGTGACTGAGTGATCACATAAGCATTTCTAATCTGTTCCCTATCTGATCCTAATCCCCTCATGAATATCTGTTTTCCAACAGTGCTTGAACTATAACCAGCCAGTAAGTTATGTTGATGTTGTTATTGTGCATGTATGATGTGTAAGTGTTAGGTGCACACATTTCTTAGCATTTGTGTGAAGGTCAGAAAACTTTGTGGAATTGGTTCTCTCTTCACCTTTATGTGTGTTCCAGGGATTGAATTTAGGTTGTCAGGCTCATTTGGCAAAGTGTTTTACCCACTGAGCCATCTTGTCCAGTTCCTGGATTTTTAAAAATTTTTTTTTTAATTTTTATGATTTATTTATCTTTTTATTTTATGTACATTGGTGTGAAGGTGTCAGATCCCCTGGAACTGGATTTTCAGACAGCTGTGAGCTGCCATGTGGGTGCTGGGAATTGAACCCGGGTCCTCTGGAAGAGAAGTCAGTGCTTTTAACCACTGAGCCATTTCTCCAGCCCCTAAAAATTTTTTTTGAGAAAGGATCTTATTCTAAGCTCAAAAAGTGCTTCTCACCTATTACAGTCCCTACTACGTGATAGATGTCCATCATGTCACAGGTGTTATTGCTAAGTCTGTCACAAGTGTTGCTTCCATTGTTTATAATATCCTTTTAAAACAGTTTTATATTTATGTGGAGACCAGAGGACAATTTGTAGGAGTTGGCTCTCTGTTTCCACACGTGGGTTCCAGGAATCAAAGCTAGATCTTCAGGCTTTTTATTTGTATCAAGCACCTTTGTACTGAGCCATCTAGTGTCCAGCATCTTTCTCTCCAGCCCTCTCTTTTCTGCCCTGGCTGGCGTCAAGCTTGCCTCTTAAGTGCTGGATTACATGTGTATTCCATCATAGCCGATTCTACATCAATTTCTGTTTCTATTTCTCTGTCTGTCTGTCTATCTATCTATCTATCTATCATCTATCTTTTTGTTTTTTCCAGATAGAGTTTCTCTGTGTAACAGTCCTGACTGTCCCGGACTCACTCTGTAGAGCAGGCTGGCCTTGAACTCACTGAGAACTGCCTCCCTCACTCCCTGAGTGCTGGGATTAAAGACGTGTGCGCCACCACCGCCCGACTTCTACATTCATTCATTTTAAAGAATTTAGTGTTTAGAAAGAGTGAGTTCAGTTCAAAGAAGAGTAGAGTTGGTATACGCCTGTAATCCCACATGTGAGAGTCAGAGACAAGTATCAGAAGCTCAGGGACCTGACCTACACGAGACCCTGGATTCAAAACGAAACAAAAGTGGTTGGGGAGAGAGCCAGGTGTGGTAGCTCATGCTTATAATCCCATGCTTATAATCCCAACATTTAGGAGGCCAAGGCAGGAGGATTGCTGTGAATTTGAGGTCAGCTTGAGCTACATTGGGAGTTTAGGTCTACAGAATGAGACTGTCTCAAAAAAGAAAACTAACTAAATATAAACTTAAAATTTTTGTGAGACATCTCAGTTATTTTCAGCTAATCCAGTCTTAGAAACATAAGATCCTAAATAAAATGAGGTCTTTTTATTATTTTTAGAGCAGTGCCCATCTCTGTCTTAACCATCTGACTGTTTACTGAACTTGATGGTGGGGCAGGAGTACAGCACTTACTTTGGTATTCAGGGCCCGGTATCCGATAGGGATTTATAAAATGTTGCACCTAGCTGGGCATGGTGACTCACACCTTTAATCCTAGGACTCAGGTGGCAGAGGCAGGTGGATCTCTGTGAGTTAGAGGCCAGCATGGTCTACAGAGTGAGTTCCAGGACAGCCAGGACTATGTAGTGAGACCCAGTCTTGGGCAGGGAGTGGGGGGAGGGAGTCACACCTCTGTGTGAGCTGCTTTGTTTGTTTGAAGTCAGGACATTTAAACACTGTGCTTTGAACTAGGACTTTGCTTCCCATTTGTGTTTGCTTTTCTGAGGCCTTCCCAGGATCTTTTGATGAGGGTCATTTACAGGAAATGCCTTTTATATCACTCGTTCCACTTCTGGTTTTTCTCGTTGTCACTGTTCGCATCGTCATACTCGTGTTCCTCCAGCTCATGTGATCGCAGTATCCCAGAATGCGGCACCCCTGAGTTCTGCCGGCTACAGAGACACAGGTCTTAGTCTTCTCAGCACTGGGAGGAGAAATGGTTGTGCAGTGTATGGAATCCCTAGGTCATGCTTTCAGACATGAAAGGGAACAGTGATCTGGAGCTTTTCTTCATGAGTGTCTTAGATCTCACGTTAGAATTCTTTTTCTCTTGAACTCTTCGGAGATTGTAAAATTAGTATCTTGTTTGAATTTTGGGGGGAAGTCTCACCATATAGACGAGGCTGGCTTCAAACTCATAGAAATCTGCCTGACTATGCCTCGTGAGTGCTGGGATTAAAGATACGTGCTACCACATCTGACCCTTGATCATTTTTATTAAGCCTTTTTTAAAAAAATTTATTTATTATGTATACAATGTTCTGTCTGCATGTATGCCTGCCCACCAGAAGAGGGCACCAGATCTCATATATGGTTGTGAGCCACCATGTGGTTGCTGGGAATTGAAATCAGGACCTCTGGAAGAGCAACCAGTGCTCTTTACCTCTGAGCCATCTCTCCAGCCCCTTTATTAAGCCTTTTATAAAGAACAGTATCTTTCAATTTGAAAACTCACTGGGAATGGTGGCATACATACCTATAATTCCAGCACTTGGGAGGTAAAGGAAGGAGGATCAGGAATTAAAGGTTATCCTCAGCTGTCTGGCAAGGTCCAGGCTAGCCTGGGCTACATGAAACTATATCAAGAAAAAGAAAAGTAAATACAAAAACGTCAGAGTGGATTCTGAGGGCTACTGCTGTAGAGAGAGGCAGAGGGGATGCTGAGGGCCACTGCTGTAGAGAGAGGCAGAGGGGATGCTGAGGGCCACTGCTGTAGAGAGAGGCAGAGCCCTGCTCTGACATGTGCAAGGCCTTGAGTTCTCTCCCAGCATGGCAAAAAATAAAACACTAAGAAATAAAAAGCCAAGGGTTTGGTTCCTGTGTTTCTACTTCATTACTACATCTGTAGAAATCAGATTTGAATTTCATTAGCTGTCAGCTTTTTTCCCCATTGGTTTTAGTCAAAGATATTGTCAGATAACAGTGCCTTATGCTTCTCACAGTGGTATACTTTATTGTTTTTAAGATGGGCTTTTACTGTATAGACAAGGCTGGCCTCACTGGCCATCTTCCTGCTTTCGACTCCCAAGTATTACTGGTTTGTGCCAGCCTTGACACTCACCACCTACCATCACCTCCACCATGGAGAAAAGGGAGGGAGGGATGAAGAACTGTGGGTAGAGAACAAGCTTCAAGGACTAGGGGAAAGGAACCAATCAGTAGTAGTTCATGCCTTCATTTAAAATTGTTTGTTTGGGCTGCAGAGATGGCTCAGAGGTTAAGAGCACTGGCTGTGAGTTCAATTCCCAACAACCATGTGGTGGCTCACAACCATCTGTAATGAGATCTGGTGCCCTCATCTGGAGTGTGGGCATATGTGGAGGCAGAATGTTGTATACATAATAAGTAAATAAATCTTTAAAAAAAAATGAAATAAAGGCCAGGCGGTGGTGGGGCATGCCTTTAATCCCAGCACTCAGGAGGCAGAGGCAGGCTGATCTCTGTGAGTTTGAGTCCAGCCTGGTCTACAAGAGCTAGTTCCAGGACAGGCTCCAAAGCTACAGAGAAACCTGTCTTGAAAAAAAATTAAAAATAAAATAAAATTGTTTGTTTGTCTGTTTGTTATTTTTATGAGATAGAGTTTCTCTGTAGCTTTGGAGCCTGTCCTGGAACTTTCTCTGTAGACCAGGCTAGCCTTAATTTACAGAGATCCACCTCCTTTGCCTCCTGAGTACTGGGATTAAAGGAATGAACCACCACCGCCCGGCTAAAATTATTTTTATTTTGTGTATATGAGAGTTTGCCTACATATATGTACGTGTACTCTGTGTGTCTCTGGTATCCTTGGAGACCAAAATAGTGTTGATTTCCCCGAAGTGGCGTTGTAGATTGTTGGAAGCCACATGTAGGTGCTGGAGATGGAGTCCAGGTCCTCCGCAAGCACAGTTCATGCTCTTCACCGCTGAACTCTCGCTTTCTCTCGGTTATCATGGTGGGCTGTGCTTTGGCCCTAAAGGCTGTTGTATTTTCCTGTCCTTCCTTACTCACTGTATTTCCAAATTTCACTTTTTTTTCCTGAGAGACAAGGTCTTAAGCGTAGTTCCTGTCTCAACATCTTGAGCACTGAGCTTACAGTCCTGTGTCACCACGTCCTCCCTGAACTTCACGTCTTGTTTGTGATCCATCACAGTCACATGTTCTGTGTCCTTCCTTCAGGCGACAGTTCCTTCTTTCTCCACACCTGGCTCATGACTCCACTTCGTGTTGCTGAAACCCCAGCAGAGTATCGCTATAACAGGGCCCATTCTGCAACTCACAGTGTGATTGAGAAGACTTTGCGAGCCCTCTGCTCTAGGTTCCGATGCCTGGATGGATCGAAGGGAGCCCTGCAGTACTCGCCGGAGAAATCCAGCCACATCATCTTGGCTTGTTGTGTCCTTCATAACATTTCCCTGGAACACGGGATGGATGTTTGGTCCTCTCCAATGACTGGACCCATTGAACAGTCACCTGAGGGCGAGTATGAGCAAATGGAGTCCCTGGATTTAGAGGCTGACCGAATCCGGCAGGAACTAATGCTCACTCACTTCAGTTAGTGTGGAAGGTGGAAGAAGGAGACTTTCCAGAATGAACTATGAAAACTTTCTCCTTACCAGCCCATCACCAGGTTCTGTCATCCAGTGTGACTGAATGTGCACACTTGTCAGAAATTAACATTTAATGTTTCAGAAGGGCAGGAGGTGGGGGAAGGCATGCCAGCAAATGTGTCAGTCAACCAGACCGAAACAAGACATTGTCCCCTGATGTGCAGTGAAGCCCGTGCTGTTCACCACTCTTTACTGTTCTCTGGCCGCAACTGTACAACCGCAGTAAAGGAGAACAGCACATAACCACAGCATTTTGTTCTGGAGATCTCAAATGAAAACAACGTTTTTCCTGACTTCTTCGTTCCGTCCCTCCTTCTTTTCTCCCCTCCTTTCCTCCACCCTTCTTTTCTTGCTAGTTAGTTTGAGACTTTTTTTTCTCAAAAATGATAGCACAGACTGTCCTGGTGTTCACTACATTGCCCAGGTTGGCCTGGCCCTTATAACAGCCCACAGCCCTCCTCCTTCAGCCTCCCAGGTGCTGGGTGACGGTGTACGTCGTGATGCCTGGTACTGATTCTGCTGGGTGATGATGTACGTCGTGATACCTGGTACCCTGATGCTGCTGGTGACAGGTCGACAGGTGTACGACATCATGCCTGGTACTGATGCTGCTGGGTGACGGTGTATGTCGTCATGCCTGGTACCCTGGTGCTGCTGGGTGACGGTGTACGTCGTGATGCCTGGTACCCTAGTGCTGCTGGGTGACGGTGTACGTCGTGATGCCTGGTACCCTGGTGCTGCTGGGTGACGGTGTACGTCGTGATGCCTGGTACCCTGGTGCTGCTGGGTGACAGGTGGACAGGTGTACGACATCATGCCTGGTACTGATTCTGCTGGGTGACAGTGTACGTCGTCACACCTGGTACCCTGGTGCTGTGATTCTCACCTTTGTTGTCTACATAGGCAAATAGAGTGACTTAGTTGAGGAATGATCTAATATAAGTGAACACTTGCCTAGCAAGTGTGAAGTACTGATTTCTAGAACTGAGAAGAAATGAGGAGAAAGGAACTGTTAGTCTGCATTTGCAGGATTGTTTTGAAGAGGACATTAAAGACAGTGGGAAGCCACCATCCTGAGTGTGCCCACACTAATTGGACTATGATTTGGATCTAGTTCCTAGAGGGAACATCTGAACTCCAGTCTCCTAGTTCACTCTTGAGTCAGAGTTAGAGGTAAGGACTGAGTCAGCTTAAAGAAGGTAATTCAAATATAGGTAAAAACCACGTTTATACTTTACGGAGGATCTAAAGACTCTGGCAGTTCAACAACAGATTCCCACAAGTTTACAAAATTCAGAGCAGGCTTGGCAGCAAGTGACTTTATCTGCTGATGTTTCTTGCCAGCCTGACATCCTCCTTCCCCCCCCGCCCCCAAGACAGTGTTTTTCTGTGTAACAGCCTTGGCTGTCCTGGAACTAGGTCTGTAGACCAGGCTGGCCTCGAATTCACAAGAGACCTGCCTGCCTCTGCCTCCCGAGCGCTGGGATTAAGGCCTCCCACCTCTGCCTGGTCCTCCTTTTCCATTTTTAATGTGGCAGTAAGATTGAATTTAAGAGTCTGTTCTCTGCTCTACCTCTAAACTATACCCTTAGCTTACTTTTTATTTTATTACTTTGTTGCTCAAGCTGGCCTTGAACTCACTAGCCTAGACAGGCCTTAAACTCATAATCATCCTGCCTCGGCCTCCTGAGTAGCTGGGATTACAGATTATGCCACCAGACCAGCCTTGGTTATTTTTTTATAAGGCTATGGTGTGAGAATATGTAGTCTATTTTGGAATTCTTTGTACAGAGGACAGTTCCGGGGAGAAAGGGGCCATAGAGCCAGTCATAGTGGCTCATGCTTGCAATCCCAGTACTCAGGAGGCTGAGGTGGTTATATTGTGGTTTCAGAGCCAGCCTATACTACATAGTCCCAGGCCTGCCTGGGCCACTGTGGAAGCCCCGTCTTAAAAAGCAGAGATATAAAGCATGACTTGACATAAACTCTGGAGCTATTATATATTATAATATTATATGTGGAGCGATAGACAGCACTTCCCAGGAAGTGAATAACCTCTAACAAGTCTTGTTCTGAAACTTCACTGTTGTAAAAATAGCCTAATAGAGATAATAGAAGTGTGAATTAGGTTCACACCTCAGTGTCTTTGCTGGGACTGAAAAGATTTTCCTGAGGATTGTCTTCTTCCCAGATTCTCAGCCACTCATCATGTGACACCTTGGAATTGGCCTCTTGGATCATTTTCTACCTGCCTTTGGCAGTGTTAATCTGGGGGTTTTCAAGGTAAACAGCTGATGACAGAAGAAATCTGGAAATAAATTGAGGGTGACTCATCCTTAAGAGTAAAAACAATTATGGACTATTATCCGCTGTTTATTTCCATCCCAAATGCTATTTTTCATCCTTCCCGACCCCTCTGAAGAGCGAGTCTCGTGGTGGGAGAGTGCATTCAGTGTGTGAAGCAGGTCCTAGAGGCAGGCAGTGAATAGCTGCTGGAGACTAGGTTTGAGCATTACACAACAAAGACTTCGTTACATTTTCCTCTTCCTGCATTGTTTCTGTTTAGTTTAAGATAAGATCCTATGCAGCCAGGCTTGCCTGGTGTGACTGTCCAGCAGTTCTTCTTAACTGAACAAGAACCCCCCAAGCAAGGGGATGACAGACCTGTGCCGCTGCACTGCACCAGCTTTGATTTTGTTTTTGTTTATTTGTTTGTTTTGTCTGACTTTGTAATCTGACCTAGAACTCACTCTATAGACCAGACTGGGCTTGAACTCATAGAAATCCAGCTGCCTCTCGGCCTCTGGAGTTCTAGGATTGAAGATCATACCCAGCCTCTTGTTTCCTTTGTTTTGTTTTTTTGAGACAGGGTTTCTCTGTGTAGCCCTGGCTGTACTGAAACTCACTCTAAATCAGGCTGGCCTCAAACTCAGCGATCCACCTGTCTCCGCCTCTGCCCCCAAGGGCTGGGATTAAAGATATGTGCCACCATGCCTACCTTTGATTTATTTATTTATTTATTTATTTATTTATTTAATTGCTGGGAAATCAAACCCAGAACCTAGCATACACTAAGCAGACACTCTACTTTGAGATATAACTTCATGTTCTGCAAAACTTAACGAAAGCTTGTTTTGCCTCCCTCTTAAGGTCTATAAACTATGTTATCTTCAAAGTTGCCACCCACCTGCCTCAGTCTTCTAAGTGCTGGGAAAAGAAAAGAAACTGAAAGATACTCCCTGCTGTGTGTCCATCCTTGGGGCCTGTTTTATTTTCTAGATTCTTCTAAGATTTTACAGAATTGTATGTGTAAGAGATGACAGACTCAAAATTAACATTCTCCAGTTCAAATTCCCTTGTTTAGTCTGTCTAAATTCTTTCCATGTGATTGACAGTGATAAGTCTATTTTTAGGGGATGGACTATCCTGGTTTGCTCAGGGCTGTCACAATTTTAGCACTGAAAGTTCTGTGTCCAGTTGATGATTGTAACAGGAAGAAACTTGGGGGATCATTACCCTACTACTTACAGGGGAGTAGCTCCACAAGGAGAACCCACTGGAACAGCAACCAGCACGGCAGTGAGCTATCGAGTGTTCCTGCTATCATGCAAAAGGCCATCAGCACATCCCAGGTTGGTGTAGACTCTGCCCACAGCCTTCCTAGTTAGGAGCTCTCCAGCAGGAAAAGGATCCTAGGTGTTTGAGGATCTCGACTCTGATCTCTCTTGTTTGGTCTCATTAGACCAACGTCATCTCTGTCAGAACAAGCAGTCATTTATTGTAAGTTGAAGGTTAATTCCACACACAGAAAATCTTCCCAAAGGAAGTTGATGTAGTTGTGGGTGGATGAAGCCTTTTCTTTTTCTTTCTTTTTTTTTTTTTTGCTCTGAGCATAGAAGTTTATACATACCAGCCAAGCACTGTACCTCTAAGCAACATTTAGTTCACAAATCATGTTACCCATATTCTCACAAAGTAGTCTAACCTCAGCTTTTCAAGTATCTCCATTTGCAAATGATAACTTTATATGTATGGGTAAAACTACAACTTTTTTTTCTTCAAAATAAAATGTCTGCAGGGATGTAGCATGTTAACTCTGTTGATAGAGTGTTTGCCTTAGATGCACAAAACTCGGCTCAGTTCCTAGCACTCTAATAAACTGGACATGATCATGTAGTCCTTAGGAGGTAGAGAAGAGTCAGGAGTTCAGAGTCAGCCTTGGCTACATAGCTAATCTGAATTCACGAGGCCCAATCTCCAAAGTTTCCACATTTTAAAAAACTGAAAACTTCAGGCTGGGAGGTGGTGGCACATACCTTTAATTCCAGCACTCAGGAAGCAGAGGCAGGTAGATCTCTCTGAATTTGAGGCCTGCCTGGTCTACAGAGTGAGTTCCAAGGACCAGGCTCCATAACTGCTGAGAAACCCTGTCATGAAAAACCAAAAAATATAAATAAATAAATAAATAAATAAATCAAAATCATTAATTGTTATTTTATCTCCAGCGGAGCTCTGGGCTGTCTGCTGTCCTTGCACTGACTGTTGAAAAGGTTAGAGAGAGCTATCTCTATCTTCAGGGGGAGGTATACGCAGGATTTTTTGAAGAATTATTTTTCCAGGGAAAGCTTATTTTCCCCTTTATTGCTCTGCTATTCACCCCTTTAGTAAGTTGTTTTGGCTTTGAAACCTTCTGGAGACTCGGACTCACAACCACTGAATTTGTCAGTTTTTTTCCCCTACAAACTCTAGCTCTGTACAAATCTTGCCACATTTCTTTGTGGGTAGCCTCTTATTCTAGTTATGTTTCTATTGCTGTGATAAAACACCACAACCAAAAATAACTTGAGAAGGAAAAGGTTTATTTCAGCTTACACTTCCAAACACAGTCTTTTATCTAAGGTTCCTCAGGGCAGGAAACCTAGAGGCAAGAACCAAAATAGAGGTCATGAAGGCTAGCTGCTTTCTGGCTTTGCTGCTCAGCCAGCATGGTAGTTTAAATGTAATTGGCCCCCATAAGCTCATAGGGAGGGGCACTATTAGGAGATGTGGCTTTGTTGGAGTAGGTATGGCCTTGGAGGAAGTGTGTCACTAAAGAGGCGGGCTTTGAGGACTCATTTATGTTCAAGTTGCATCTAAGTCAAGAGACTTAGATCTCTTCCTGTTGCCTACTGATCAAGATGTAGGACTCTCAGCTTCAGCACCATGTCTGCCTGGACACCACCATGGCCTACCATCATGATAATGGATTGAACCTCTGACACTGTAATTAAATGTTTCCTTATAAGAGTTGCTG